AAAAAAAAAAAAAAAAAAAAAAAAAAAATTGCAGAAACGTAATCCATTATGGTTTACGTATATACACGAATTTTCATTAAAATCAGAATTTTTAAATTAAATGAATATTCTCCGTGAAATAACTATTTTTGTGATTGCATAGTTTTGTTAAAAAACACAGAATTCCAGTTTTCCAATTAAAGATTTCCGTTAGATTCTCTATCGGAAAACAAAAATTTGAACAATCAATTTAAATTACAAATCAATCGCAATTCCATCTTTAAATCTCGAACGAAAACGCACTCGAATCTTTCATCCTTCCAATTCTTTTTTTTTTTTAATTTCCAAAAACACATTCCGATCCATTCGAAAAATTCTAATTAGAATCAAGATTACCCAAACTTTCCAATCATCCACGTCTTCCTTATTATCCAAAAATCCCCTCGATTCATAACTCGAAGAAAGTCGCGAGATCACGAACCTTTTACCACTCCCATTCCATTTCGAGAAACACATCTCGACTCAAGATCACGAATATCAATATCCATCATCTGCATCCGCGTCTCTCCTATTTCCAAAAACACGCCTCTACCCAAGATCACGAACAACTTCCATCAACTTGCGACCATCACGTTTCCCTCGATTTTCAAAAAACACGGTTTCTCGACCAACTCAAACACCGTCTATATAATTAAAACCGCGGCAAGCAATCGGTTTCCCGCAGGGGAAAAACCTTGTGGCAATTGAACTTCCTTGGACACGAGGCTTATCGACGATTTATCTCGCCCTTCCCTCCCTCCCCTCTGCCGAGATACGTGGATTCCGAGCGAAAAGTTACGTCGACTCGACGGGATTAAAGTTCGAAATCCGGCGACTCCGGGAAATAATATGAGGGGAGATAGGAGGGGAGGAAATGAGGGGAGGCGAGAGACGAAATTAAATTAAAGTTTCACGGTGATAAGTCTGGTGGCAGAGTGGTGTAGTAGATGCGACGCGATATTACGCGCCCGATCGAATTTCAACTTTCGCAGGAGGGGAGAAA